AATGTGAGCTATCTTGGAAGAATGCATAGGGGGTAAAGTGCTCACCGCATAAACCTGAGGAAGTGACTTTGGGTCTGCAGAACACACATAAAAACCAGATGCTATAGTGTGCATCTATAACTGGGAGACTGGAAGACAGAGACAGGAGGATCCCTGGAGCATGTCTGTTAAATCAATGAACTTTAAGTCCAGTGAGAGACCTTGTCTCAGAAAATAAGGTAGACAGCACGCGAAGAATCTGTTCAGCACTTAGCTATGCCCTCCGCATCCACACATATGCATGCATACCCATGCACACACACAGGAAACCATATATGGACCATATACACAACACATCATATACACACAAAGCCCAATTTAACTTTGGGCACATGTGCACACACTCATGAACATGTTGACATGCATATGCCAAACATACACACACATATACAAACACACTGTCTTTAAATTTTTATGTTTTTATTATTTCTCACCCAAATGCTGAAATTTAATAATTTCATTGCCAAGAAACTTCCATTCTTGCAGTTGCACAGATGATAATGTAAATATGTGGAAATGTTAGAAAATCATTTGATATTATCTAACAAAATTTGAAAATGACACATATTTTGTGTCAGTGATTTCATTTTAAGATTTTTATCCTATTAGTACTTTGAAAAGGTACAACTCATAAGTAAGGATAGAATTGTTTATAAAAAATAAGAAGTCTACCCAATAACAGGACAAATAAACAGATGCTACCAAATAATAAAATATTATGCATCCATTAAAAAAAGAAAAAGAGCTTTCTATGTCTTTATGTTCAAAGATTTCTAGCAAAATGAATAACAACTCTTAAGAATCTGCATTTGTTTTTCTAAAAGCTTAGAGGAGACATTATTCATATGCTTGCATTACATCTAAATAAAATTTTTTCTAGAAGGAATGAAACTGAGGATAATAGTTACTTTTGGAGAAAAGACTCATTGTGGAATTTTTGTTTAGACTTTTAGAAGTATAAAATGTTTTCATCTGTTTGCCTCTTTAAAAATAACCTGTTGAAACTAACAGAAACATGAATTATATTTTAGTCGCTCTAGAAGCTAGGAAGAGGAGAACCCTCTTAAGTATGTGAGTGGTATTGACAAGGAAGGAATTTGACTCTGAAGCAGGGCATAGTTCATGATTGTCATGCTTAAGGATGCTCACTTCTTGTCTATATGTCAAACCACAGATCTACAGGTTAGCACCACCTGTTGATAACGAGTCTTATTTTATCTGCCACAGAGACATGGCTTATTTACCAGCTTCTGGCGGACGGCCAGGTGCTACCAAAGTCATGGTAGTTGTAACTGATGGCGAATCCCACGACGGGTCGATGCTGAAAGGTGTGATCCAGCAATGCAACGAAGCAGAGATCCTGAGGTTCGGCATCGCGGTGAGTGGGTCCTCTTTGTACTTGGCTCTCCATGGGTGGGTGCACGCTCCTAGACGCCATCACTTTTCACTCCACATCTTCTCGTTGGCTCTTCAAATGTCACTAAACAGCTTCTACTATGTCTCTGCTTCCTGCCGATTTTCAGTCCTGGCAACTAAATAAGCGGTTTCAGAAATGGTGCTTGCAAAAGTCTATGATCCTCAGAAATGCACTAAAATCGACGAATAGAAAAATTGAACTTGAGCAAGAATGACCTTTTTCCTTGTCCTCTTTTTTCAAGGTTCTTGGGTATTTAAACAGAAATGCCCTTGATACCAAAAATTTGATAAAAGAAATCAAAGCAATTGCTAGCACTCCAACAGAAAGATACTTTTTCAACGTGGCCGATGAGGCAGCTCTTCTGGAAAAGGCTGGGACATTAGGGGAACAAATTTTCAGCATCGAAGGTAAAAACTCTTCAATAATTTTCTTTCAAATCCTTCTTTTGAAAATTTATTTTAGTATAACACATTTGCTCTAAAGATGTTAACTTGTATAGTGTGCATAAGCAACTCATATATATTGGCAAGAAAAGTAGACAAAGCACATGAATATGTAGTTTATAAAAGAGAAAATACAAGTGACCAGTAAACATAAGAAAATATTACTGGGACTGGAGAGATGGCTCAGCAGTTAAGAGCACTCTGCTCTTGCAGAAAACCCAGGTTTGGTTTCCATCATCCACATAAAAGCTAGAAAAGGTCCATAACTCCAGTTCCAGTGGATCCAATACACTCTTCTGGCCTCTACAGGCATTGCACTCATGGTGCACTTAAATCTATGCAGGCAAAACACTCATACACGTAAAAATAAATAAATAAAATATTCCCAACTTCAGTAAAATATTTTTCAAAAAGAGTTCAGCCACTTTTGTGTTTCGCCTAAGAGATGACACAGATCAATAATGTTTAATTTTTCAGAAGTCATTAAAAAGCAAAGAAAGTCATATGTTGTCAATAAGATGATAAATTCTTATAACTTTTGAGAGAACAATTTAGCAGCATCTATTATAATCATAGTTTTTCCTTTTTATTAGTATGTTATGTAATTTCAGAAATTCCTTAATTTTTATAATATGCATATATGCATTTAAAATTGTAAAAATACTGTGGAAATATCTAGCCATTGAGGTTGGGGGAAATATTTTGTTTATCACAGCTATAGTAATTTACTTACATAGCTTTGGAAAGTTGTCAGGTCAGAAATATTGCACACCCTGAGGCTCCATGCCTGGAGTACTGAAATGCTCTTTAAACTTGGTCAGAAGTTCCACTTGACCCAAATCCTAGCTCCAAGTGGTTAGCCCAAATACCCATCAGCAATAAAGATGGTATTTAATTGATCACCTGTGAGTCAGGTACTGCCTTAAGGGCTGAATTCAAGGGGACTGCATTGTGCTCACTGCTGTAGTCAAATCTTGATCTCCTTAGTATGCACTAGAAATTTCTATTTCACCCCAACTTTTATTGGTTTTTTAAGTATAGTGCTTCTAAGTGATTTAAATTATCACCAAAATGTAATATCTCTTGAGATAATACAAAATTATTAAGCCATCCAACCTAAGAAATTTGCTTTAAATACAAGAGTAAAAGTAATTGTGGTGTAATTTAAAGCTATCTAGAAATGATTTTATACATTATCTGTTATTGTAGTCTTTTTCTTTTTTCTTTTTTGATCTTTTTGAGATAGGGTCTCCCTGTAGCTCCAGCTGTTCTGGATTCACTGTGGAGACCAGGCTGGCCTCGAACTCACAGAGATCCGCCTGCCTCTGCCTCCCAAGTGCTGGGATTAAAGGCGTGGGTAGTCTTTTAAGCATAACTATCTTTTCCTAAATTGCTCTACTCAACCTATATTACATTTCTAATCAAGAGTACATCTTCCGCCAGGTGTGATAGTTCACACCTTTAATCTCAGCATCCCGGAGGCAGAGTGAGATCTCTGTGAGATTAAATCCAGTCTGGTCTATAGTGAGTTCCAGGTAGCCTGGGGCTAGGGAGACCCTGTCAAAAACAAAAAACAAAAAAAGAGCAAATCTTGCAGCTTCTTCTTCTCTTTATTAAAGCATCAGTGCAGAGATTTAGCTTACTTCTTATGAACGTTATTGAGGAACAATCATTTTGACCACAGCCACACTGTAAGGAAGAGGAGTACTAACTGAGTTCTGTGGTGGTAGTGTGACAGAAGCTTAGGTACAATTAGAACAAACTTTCCAACGGTAAAATGCCTTAGCCTTGAATCCTGGTTTCTGATGGCCATCTTAGATATCTCTCCATACAGTCTACAATAGAAAGCAATTGCCTACTATGCCAGTGTATTTGAAATAGTTGTGCATTAGACAGACCAATGTTTAAAAGCAAAAAACAAATTAGATTCTTAGCTAGTAATGATAAATTTAAAAAAATATTCTGACCTCAATTTCTACCTTACCACATGTTGAGGAACAAAGGATATGAGGACCATTATGAATAGTCAACTAAACTCATTAACGCTTAACTGAGATCAAAGCCAACTTCAAATATTACCTTAGATACTTTTTAAACTTATTATTTTTATTTTGTGTATGAGTGTATTGCCTGCATGTATGTGAGTGCATCTGTGTCATACAATGCCGTGGAGGTCAGAAGAGGGCTTTGGATTCCCCTGGAACTGAAGTTAAGGATGGTTCCTAGCCGACATGTGGGTGCTGGGAATCAAACCCAGGTCCTCTGCAAGAGCAGTCAGTGCTCTTAACCTCTGAGCCATCTCTCCAGCCCCACCAGGATATAGTTTTGCATTAATATCAGAACACACACACGTGTGTGTGTGTTCATGTGTGTGCCTGTGCATGCATATGTGTTTGTGTACACATGTGCATCTGTTTGAAAACTTGATTTAAAATTGTTGACAATAATATAATCTTTGAAACATATTTTCCAGGTACTGTTCAAGGAGGAGACAATTTCCAGATGGAAATGTCACAAGTAGGATTCAGCGCAGATTACTCTCCTCAAAGTGTGAGTATATCAGATACGTTCATGCTGGCACTTGGCAAAACACAAACAGATGAAGTAGCTTATACATAAATTAGGAGAAGTAGTCATCTCCTGACTAATGATTCCAATTCCTACTCCCCCCAGTTGTTAGGTTTTAAAAAGTAGTTAAATTCTTTCCTCCCTATTTCAAAGGGTTTTTAAAAAAAAAAAAATGGAGAAAGTATTTTTTTAAAAAGGCAAGGGCATATATTAATTCCAGATATTACCCTTACAGAATTGCCTCTGCATCATTTAACTATTTGAAACACTTGTCAAAGACAGAAGCTCTTTTCATCACCAACAACACTGTGTTCTAAGTTGCCATAGCATCGTTTTCTAAGAGCATTGACAGAAAATTGTTGAAAAATCAAGGATTCATGAAAACTAAGATGGGTTTGGAGTCTACCACGGTCTTCTTAACTCAGGGAAGTTTGTTTCTGTTCTCAGAAACAACCTCCAGGCCTTGGATCTTTTTCCACCCAGATCCTGATCCACCCAGGCTATGGGAAGCTAGTAAAAGGCAAAAAGATATGAGATCCTGAGAAATATTTAGGGAATAATTTGAATTCAGAGAATGTAGTAAGTAGCTCAAAGGACCAAGAACAGCTCATTCTCTGTCTAGAATAAAAGATGCTAACTTTACTGGTTCAACAGTCCTTAGAGATGCTCTGAAAAGTTATCTTTCCCACAAAAGAAGTAAATAAATACACAGAGAATTTTGCACAGTTGCATGAGGTTATTGTACATCCCTTGGAGTGCATTCATACACCCCTAATTTAGAATCTCTGGTTCATTACACTTGTTCTCACAGTTATATATTCTTGTTTCCTCAAAATTGGATGTATTATTTTCCTATTTGTTATTTTTAGTCATAAACCATATCATTGTTTTCTTCAATCTAATATAAAAATAAATTAACAATAACAGCTCCTCTTCTGATCAAGCCTGTGTTCCTGAGGACTTGCAGCCTTCGATAGATATGATTTGTACCAGTCCAGGGCATCTTGCCCTCCTTTCCTCTCCCCTCCGGCTGCCTTGGCTTATTTTCCTTCTTCTACGTAGACTGCCACAGCTATAGGTAGCTTTTGTAGCTAAACCATGACTAAATACATGGGATCTAGGAATACAGATACCAGAATATCTGAGGACAGGAGGAAAGGGAGGAAATTTAAGGCTAGAGAAACGGCTCAGTGAGCATGAGTACTTGCTGCACAAGCATGAGAACCAGAGTTCAGCTCCCAGCACCCACTGGGGAGGAAAAAACCCTGATGGCCATCCATACACCCTTAGCACTGCAGGAGGTAGACACAAGAGAATCACTGGGGCTTGCTGGCTCCATCCTGGTTTCAGCTTCCAGGAGAGACTCTGTCTCAAAGAAATAAGGTGGAGAGTGATAGAGTAGAGGACACTGATGTGTCGCCCCCCCAGCTTCTGCATGTGCATAGGCATGTACACTCATGTATACAATACACACACATATAAACATTCAAAGAACAGAGTTGACAGTATAATAAGTCAGAAAGTCTCCCAAGGCATGCTGGGGGAGCAGCAGCATCCCCTCCCTTCTCTGAGGCAGCACTTTTAGAGCCTGTGTGTTTCATACCCATCATGAGCTGTTCTTAGGAATATGTGGGACAGGAAGCACTCCTCTGACTTTTCTATAAGCTCTGAAAGGCTCAGCATTTGCAGATGCATGCCTTTGAAGAGAAATTTGAAGATGGCTGTACATCCATCCTATACCACAGCTTACTGAAAACATTTATCTCCATCAAAATAAGTACGATCCAAGATAATATATCTTGTTATCCAGTACAGATTAAAACAATTCTGAGATATGTCAATATACATTCATATATACTATACTTAACCATTTAAATTTCCTTAAATCTTGATGATTTATTTCAATATTTTCCCTACCCTGTATTATTTTGCATTAAAGGTGATTTCTCTTTCTGTTTATTTACTTTGGGTTATTTTAGGATGTTCTGATGCTAGGTGCAGTGGGAGCTTTTGACTGGAGTGGAACTGTTGTCCAGGAGACCTCTCATGGGCACTCGATCTTTCCTAAACAAGCATTTGACCAAGTTCTGCAGGACAGAAATCACAGTTCATACTTAGGTAAGGCAGTTGGCTCAGAAAACTGAGGTTCTTTTCCTATAAACTCCCAAGTTAGCAAAGCTTCCGAGTTGTCTTCTGGTCAACATGTTTATGATTCACAGATGCTACCTCTTTACCAGTTAGACCTCAGTCCATAATTAATTAGGAAAAACTATTTTTTACACACAAATCTCTGTAGGTATCTGTTAAGTCCATCTGATCTGTGGTGTCATTTAACTCCAGTGCTTCTCAAACATGGTTTGTTGTTGTTGTTTAGAAAATGGTTCTCTTTGACTTTTATTTTCAATTTTTATTTATTTCATTTTTTTGAGAATTTTATACATTAGTATTTTATTTGCATTATTGCCCTCCTCCTAGTGCCCCTCTAACTTCTCCCAGGTCCCCCTCCCCCTATCTCCCATACAGTTACATGTGTATACATTCATAAATATACATATATTACGCACTGAGTCCATTTAGTTAGAAAAATTTTAAATGACACACTACCAGATAATATTGACAACACATTTTTAAAATATAGGATAACTTTAGGCATTTTTTCTATAATTCTAGAACTCTTAGTTCTAGAAGCTTCAGTAGTAGCTATGTATATAGAATTTCTCATCTTTTTCCTACCTTACCAATGTGAGATTATAAAAATGAAATGGTGAGTTCTGCTGGTAACAGGCATCAATATTTCTGACTAAAACTTTCAAATTATAATCAAGTCATCAATCACTTTAACTATGAGGGCAATAACTATGGTTGCTTTTGTGGCATCTTGAGAAGAGGGCAAGTGTGGCATTTCCGATGTCAGGCTGCAGAATTAGTGTCTAAGTTATTTATACCTACAGGTCTTGTGAAGAGGAAAGAACCAAGAAGGAAGTTAGTCTACTGAGATTTCTATCAGTTGAAAGTAGTAACCCATCCTTTCCTCTCTTCCAGCTGGGAGCAGTGGACTGTGGGTAGTAGACATTATCACCTACATGGAAAGCATGTAGCAGAGAAGTGCAGATGCGATTTTTGGCTATTATACCACAACTGGAAAAATTAGAATCCATCTCTTTGAACTGTTCAGTTAACTACCCCTGGAGCATAATTGTTTCTCAAAACCAGAAGTTGTTTCTAAAAGACAGTATGTTAAGTAGAGGTCTTCTCTTGTTTTTAGTGTTCTTAGAGGTTTTGCTGTCATTGTCCCTATGTTGAACAGCCAATGATGCTCAGCATCAACTATGGACACTTGTATTCTACCTACATAAATCCTTCCACCAGTCCTTTGAGAGACAGTGAGCTTAATAACCTGTGTAAATTTCAACAACCTAGCAAGTGACAAATCCAGAATTCGAACCTAAGACTCTTTGAGTCCAGGGCCTGTGTTCTTTCCATGAGCAGCATTATGATTTAAGTCCATGTTTTATTCAATAAACACCTATTGAAGACCAGTAGCATTTTAAAGATTCCTGTTGCCTTGATCAAGTACCCCAGCAAAAGCAACTTAAAAGAGAAAAGATTTATTTAGCTCACAGATTCCAGTCTGTCATTGTGGGAAAGTCAAGGAGGCAGGAACTTGAAGAGGCTAGTCAGTCAAGAGCAGAGAACAATGCACTAATGCAAGGATGCTTGAGCTCAGCTTGCTTTCTCTACTCTTAGGCAGCTTAGGAGCTTCTGCCTAGGGAATGGTGCCATCCACAGTGGGCAGGTTTTCCCACCTCAGTTAATGTAATCAAGATAATTCCCCACAGACATGCCCACAGGCCAACATGATCTAGACAAGACCTCACTAGCCTCTCTTCCTAGGTGATTCTAAATTGTGTCAAGTTGACAGTTAATACTAACCATTGCAGTCAGGTTCATAGGTGGCTGATGAGAACAACCCAGGATTAAGGGCCAGTTTTATAAGTTGAAGCCTTCTCTGTGCTGCTCAGAGCAAGAGGGAAAAGGTGGACAATTGATTTCAAGGCCATGAGGAGCTGTGCGTCACACCCAAGATCAAAAGGAGCATCACTGTTCCCTTTGCTAACCCTTTCTGACTGGGAGCATCAGTGGTGCTGATTCTGGGACTGCTTTTCTCCTAGGTTACTCCGTGGCTACAATTTCTACTGAAAATGGTGTCCACTTTGTTGCTGGTGCACCTCGGGCAAATTATACTGGGCAGATAGTGCTGTACAGTGTTAATGAACATGGCAATGTCACAGTCATTCAGACTCACAGAGGGGACCAGGTAAATATCATTGCTTAGCAGGTGAAATTAATTTTATGGACAACTTGAGAGCCGTTCACTCCTTAAGAGATGGTCACACAAGCATGCACCGAACATTGCTGGATGGGATGGCATTCAGATCCCGCCTCGCTTACCTTTCTTCATTTTCCAGTCTCCCATCCCACTCTACCTGGCAACATTACCTGTCCTGGACCATGCATGAGCATTTACATCATTCGTGCTTCCCCAGTTTTCTCCACCTAGAGAACTCCTTTTGTCCTTAGATGCTATTAAATAATACTTGTCTTCCTGAGCCATCCACCACTCCCCACACTCTAATCACATGCCTTTTTTATAGCACTTTTTTTCATGGAAGCATAGTTATTTGCTGACCTTGTCCCTGTCCCATCTGTCTTTCTCTAAAACACACATCACATAAATACTAGGGGTTTGTCTTATGATACCTGTAATGATTGCTTAAAATTCTGTTTTCTGGGGCTGGTGAGATGACTCAACAGTTAAGAACACTTGCTGTTCTTTCAGAAGACCCGGGTTCAATTCTCAGCACCCACATGGCAGCTAACAAGTGTCCTTAACTCTAGTTCCACAGGATCTGACACCCTCTTCTGGCCTCCACAGTCTTTGCATGACACGGGTGCACTTACATACAGGCAGGCAATACAGTCATACACATAAAATAAATAAAAATAATTTTAAAAATATTTTTTTTTTAATTCTGTTTTCTGGATCAGACCCTAGATATTGCATTGGAATCACTAGTAATGGGTCTCAGGTATCTGTATTTGACATATAATTTCTTGGTGACTCTTTGGACACTCTAAGTTTAAGAACCAAGTTTTACGTGATGACTCTTCCTGAGGAAGGGACCTTTTTGTCCATCTTTCTGTTCCAAATGCCTTTCAGGTTGTAATCTTCCTTTTCTCTGTGCTGAGTGAATAAATAAAAATTGGGTATGATAGCATATGTATGTGATTATATGAATCCTAAGGTCAGTGTGTTTTACTGCCCTAGATTGGCTCCTATTTTGGTAGTGTGCTCTGTTCAGTTGACGTGGATAAAGACACCATTACAGATGTGCTCCTGGTAGGTGCTCCAACATACATGAATGACCTCAAGAAAGAGGAAGGAAGAGTCTACCTATTTACCATCACAAAGGTAAAAATAAATATTACACCGGTGGTTTAATTTGCTTTAGTAGTGATAAATGAAGTTAATCCACAGTTTGAAGGAAAATTTATTATTCTTGAATAATAACTAATTTTTGAGTGTACTGTGGCTTATCTTTAATCGAATTTCAAGGATGTTACCATTTTACAATTTTAAAAGTCCCACTAAAAGACATGGACTTTAACATGCAGTGCCCCATTTTCCATGAGAGGTCTTTGCATATATACTCTTCTATATAAATAAAGGCACTATAAGCACAGATAATTTTGTCATTCATGTCTATGCAAATATTTGTGCATTTCCAAGCTTCTCATGGAATTTTTGTGAAATGACAATAGTAATAGGGCAGTCTGACTTGTCATTTGACAGTAAAAAGAACTACACCATCAAATTCAGCAACCTCCATTTAACCTCAAATGCTTTCTACATTAGTTTGTCAGAAAATTCCATTGCTTAGTGTCACATTTAGGTGTGTGTCCAACTCTTGGAATTTCAAATCCTTGCCATAAAACTTAGCTTATTCTAGCACAGAAAAGCACGTTTTTTCCAACTGAACTCTCTAAATCCGTTCCAATAGGAATCTTCAGCTCAGTGAAACCAGGAAGACTATCGAATTAAAAACACACACAAACAAAACAGAGAACTATGTCAGGGAAAGAGAAGTTAACATAGCAAAACTTATGCTTAGTTGTTGTGATATCTTGTTCTAGTTTATATAAATCAACATAAAAATTACCCTTTAACAGGAGCAGTTAAATTGCAATTTTACATAAAAAATATATAATTGTATGTGAAAGAAAGATGTATCTACTTGTTTGAATATTTTTAAATCTCCAGTTTCTTATGAATATTTCTTGTTTGTAAAATATTCTGAACTATAATTAGTCATTAAAGATGAAAATATTCCTTAATGCTTTGTCAAACTCAGTAACAAATTAATTTTCATAAAATTACCATAGAGGAAAAAGAACCAACATTGACCCATTTTTGTGTCTGGGGAACTTTGCTTTCTTGTGAAACCGTTAAATATTTCTGTACTTGAGTAAAAAACTGAAGGAAAAACTCTGTATTTTGAAAGGAAATGTCTTTCCCTTTTCACAGAATCACTTAATGATTTTTGTCAAGGAATATTTGGTATTTCATTTTCCACTTATAATTCTTATCCTATTATAATCATGCCACTGTTTGATAATTTTAAAGTAAGATCTAAATAATTATGTTTCATTATGTTTTATGTCTACCTTGATTTTATTCATGATACTAGACTTTCACCAGAAAAGTTTTAAAACAAAGATTTAGAAACAGGTGAAGGCCCTACCTAATATTGAGGAAAAATGGAGATAGAGTGTTGGGTACTTTTATGTAGGTTATTTTGCTACAGCAAAGAGAATTATTACCTCCTTTAATCTTGGCTCTGGAGCATATATCCTGTGACCTTAATTCCTGACATTTTATTTATAATTTGCATCTTAAATAGAGAATCTTCATTTCTAAGATTAAAACCCTATCCACTTTTAACATTATGAAAATTGGTCTGGACATCGGTTGCTTTGAATTTTAATTACACATTGAGAGGTTTGCTTTAATCATTTCTTTTTCCTTTTGCAAGGGCATTTTGAATCAGCACCAATTTCTTGAAGGACCTGAAGGCATTGAAAATGCCCGGTTTGGTTCAGCGATTGCAGCCCTTTCAGACATCAACATGGATGGCTTTAATGATGTGATCGTTGGCTCACCTTTAGAAAACCAGAACTCCGGAGCTGTGTACATTTACAATGGTCACCAGGACACCATTCACACAAAATATTCCCAGGTAATCCATGAACGTGGTGATGTACTGTGTGCTATCATGCTAGAGCTAAACAGCATCATCTACTGTATCCCATTTTTCCCTGACTTCAAAAACTCTTTAGTGAGGCTTTACTATGTGACAATCGTTATTCTAGTGCTAAAGATTCTGTAAAGAATAGGATGGATTGTGGGGGCTGGGGACATTGGAGAGATGGCTCAGCGATTAAGAGCACTTACTGCTCTTGCAGGACCCAGGTTCGATTTCTAGCACCCACATGATGGCTAACAACCATCTGTTACTCCAGTTCCAGGGGATGGATGCTCTCTTCTGACCTCTGTGCGCATTGCATGACACAGGTATACCTACCTGTATGCAGGCATTATATTCATGCACATAAAAATTTTAAAATAGTAATAAATAAAAAAATCTTTTAAAAAATAATAGGGTAGAGAGAATTCTGCTGGACTGCATATTCTAATAAAAGAAATATGAAAAAAAGAAATAAGTAAGATACAGTGTTCTAGAGACTAATAAATGCCAAGGAATAAAAATAAGAAAATAAGCCAGGCTTGGTGGTGCTCACCTTTGATCCCAACACTCAGGAGGCACAGGCAGGCAGATTTCTGTGAGTTCAAGGTCTACATAGTGAGTTCCAAGTCAGCTGGGGCTACAGGGAGACCTTATCTCCAAAAGATCAAAAAAAGAAAGAAAGAAAGAAAGAAAGAAAGAAAGGAAGGAAGAAAGAAAATAAATCTAAAATAGGAGATACATTTTCAAGGATGAGAGGTATCCAGTGGCTGAAAGATGATGACAAATGCCTCACTGAGTAGGAAGTTTTGTGTAAGGCCTGACAAAAGATAGCTAGGATAGGAATCAGGACCTGCACTTGCCTCAGTTCATGGCTAGTCCACTGACCTACCTTTTCATTATTTTGTGCTGATTTTTGGTCATCTCTTAAAAGTGTTTGTTTGATAAAAGTATAGTTGCAAAAATGATACAAAGATCAGATAAAATGTGGTGGAAGGAAAATGGCAGAATTTTCTGGAGAATACAGACAACTTACAAAATGACCACATAGAGACCATCACAGTACAGGGAAAGAGTGCCGCTTCCTGGTTCAGTTGTGTGTGCATTTTGTGACAAATTTGCTGTTTCAGAAAATCTTAGGATCCGACAAGGCCTTTAAGAGCCATCTCCAGTTCTTTGGAAGGTCTCTGGATGGATATGGAGATTTAAATGGGGATTCCATTACTGATGTGTCCATCGGTGCTTTGGGGCAGGTGGTTCAACTCTGGTGAGTCATTCAAGGCCCAAATTAGCAAACTGCTGTGTTGTCATTTAGAAATGCTGCATGCGTTCTTTAAGACTGCATGGAATTTACATGTCATAGTTTGCATAAAGGAATATGTATGGTGGACAGTTGGAGAAGTGTACACATATATATATATATATATATACATATACATGCATGCTTATGTATATATGTATGTATTTGCTGAGAGGTATGTGTCTTAGTAAATTATTTTAGATTAAGCCATATATATGTATACACACACAAATGTATTTTCTTGTCATTAGAGTCACTTTTCTTCTGCATGTGTAAAAAGTTGCAGTGTATAGAAAAAACAAAGCCCTTGAACTGATTCCCAGGGTATTTCTGAACGCTGCCTTCTTGTAAACAGCCCCATCTCAGCTGCCAGTATGGAAGCCTCATGAGAACACACTCATTCTGAACAGCACAAAAAAGTGAAACTTCTTGTGCTAAGCTTTAGTTGGTTAAAAGGCACATTTTAAAATAATTGATCATCAACAAGAACCATTATCTATGTTTAGCTGACCTCTTCATTCATCTCCATAGAAGTTAGAGATGAGGGAACAAGAAAGGGGTCAAATGCCATAGGTGTCAAGATAAAAATAAATAAATAAAATGTCCATGAGGGGCATTAGGAGATAACTCAGTTGATAAAGTGTTTGCTGTACAAGCATGAGGACCTGAGTTCAATCCCTAGTACCCATGTAAAAAAGTCAGGAATAGTGGAAAATGCTATAATCCTAGTGCAGAGTATATGAAACCAGGCAGATTCACTGGAGCTTCTTGGCTAGCTAGTCTAGCCCAATTGTCAAGTTCCATGACAGCAAAACCCTGTCTCAAACAAGAAGGTAAGGAATGGCACCCAAGTTTGACCTCTGGCATCCACATGTATATATATGTACACACATACACACACCTGTACACATAAACATGTATGCAAAACATGCATAAAATAGGTAGATGAGCTGGTGAGATACTGGAACTGGAAAGAAATTGGTTACTCAGTCAAGACTATTTCTGCATTCGTCTTTCTCTGGTTAAAAAAAACAAAAAACAAAAAACAAAAAAAAACCCTGTGCTTTAAATACCCAAACCCATCAAGCACAAAAACATTATCCTTTGATGTGTGATGATTTCTGAGTTTGAAACTACTATGTACACTGAATTGTTTTGAAGAGTAAAATGAATTGTTTTTATTGTCAAATGAAAGTATTATGTGGAAAATAAAACCCCAGGCTAACTTTAAGACTGTGAGAATCTAGAAATATATTTATGGACTAAAGTTAGGTAAAAATCAAATGAGTATACTGAGTGGCTTATTTTAAAGAATTTAATAAAATACATACCTGTCAGCACACATCACAGATGAGACTTTTGGTAGGCATCCCACTTGGTAGGCTATACAGTAACTACACTATAATATAATGCAGCCAGTGATATGGCCAAGTTTTTGTTTTAAAAGTTAGATTTATCCTTCAGAAAAGTCAACACACAGGGAATCAAATAAATATGCCGAGCTGACTATTCAAACTCAGCTAATATTCCGTGGTCACATTCCTACAAAGTTCTGAACTTGTTTTTTCTGGATAACTCTTGGAAAATAATTCGTAATAAATTTATAAAATATGTAAATCAGCATCATCTGTATTAAAGAGTTCAATTTCAAAAGGATTGCCTTGCTGTGTGACATGGTGACACACACCTTTAATCCCTAGTACTAGGGAGGCAGAGACAGGTAGATTTGTGTGTGATTATGCTAGCCTCGTCTCAAAAAAAAAAAAAAAAAAAGGGAAAGAGGTGAGGCTGGAGAGATAGCTCAGCAGTTAAAGAGTACTAGCTGCTCTTCCAGAGGACCCAGGTTCAGTTCCCAGAACCCACATGGTGGCTAACAACAATTCATAACTCCAGTTTTAGGGTAT